CTTCTATTCAAATACAGAAACAGACTGACTGTCCCGAAAGTATCATCACACAAAGGAGTATCTGAGTGAAATCGTGGCTCCATTGCAATCAATTGCAAAACACCCCCTGACTTCAGTGCTGTCATAATATTCCCTACAGGCACAGACCAAGAGTTAGTAAATAGCTAACATCTTGGTTTTGTAGATCTAAACCCAGTTCTTTCAACTTTTTAGAAGACAGAACTGTCTGTCTTCCAGATAATATATTTTTGTTGTTGTGCATGTGAAATATTTTGAATAAGTTACATTTGTTTCATTTGCTTTTGGAATGTGATAAAAATTGTATCCAGTCATCAGACTTTTTCAATTTTTGATTAAAAAATTAATAGAAACTTTTATTAAACCCCATCAGCAGTAGAAATTATGGAATCCTGTAGACTTAAAACAAGCTACTATACTAGTATAAGTTTTATGAATGGAATGAAAACCAAGAAAAAATAAAATATTGCTTCTGAGTTCAAACAAGCAGTAAATGTATTGTGAGCACATGATATCAAAACCTTAGAATCATAGAATAGAATCATAGAATATCAGGGTTGGAAGGGACCTCAGGAGGTCATCTAATCCAACCCCCTGCTCAGAGCAGGACCAATCCCCAACTAAATCATCCCAGGCAGGGCTTTGTCAAGCCAGGCCTTAAAAACCTCTAAGGATGGAGATTCCACCACCTCCCTAGGTAACACATTCAAGTGCTTCACCACCCTCCTAGTGAAATAGTGTTTCCTAATATCCAACCTAGGCCTCCCCCACTGCAACCTGAGACCATAGCTTCTTGTTCTATCATCTGCCACCACTGAGAACAGCCTACCACCATACTCCTTGGAACACCCCTTCAAGTAGTTGAAAGCTGCTATCAAATCCCCCCTCACTCTTCTCTTCTGCAAACTAAATAAGCCCAGTTCCCTCAGCCTCGCCTCATAAGTCATGTGCCCCAGCCCCCTAATCATTTTTGTTGCCCTCCGCTGGACTCTCTCCAATTTGTCCACATCCCTTCTGTAGTGGGGGGACCAAAACTGGACACAATACTCCAGGTGTGGTCTCACCAGTGCCGAATAGAGGGGAATAATCACTTCCCTCCATCTGCTGGCATTGCTCCTATTAATACAACCCAATATGCTGTTGGCCTTCTTGGCAACCAGGGCACATTGTTGACTCATATCCAGCTTCTTGTCCACTGTAATCCCCAGGTCCTTTTCTGCAGAACTGCTGCTTAGCCAGTCGGTCCCCAGCCTGAACGATGCATGGGATTCTTCCTTCCTAAGTGCATGACTCTGCACTTGTCCTTGTCGAACCTCATCAGATTTCTTTTAGACCAATCCTCCAATTTGTCTAGGTCACTCTGGACCCTATTCCTACCTTCCAGTGTATCTACCTCTACCCCCAGCTTAGTGTCACCTGCAAACTTTCTGAGGGTCCAATTAATCCCACCATCCAGATCATTAATAAAGATGTTGAACAAAACCGGCGCTAGGACAGACCCCTGGGGCATTCCACTTGATAATGGCTGCCATCTAGACATCGAGCCATTGATCACTACCCGTTGAGCCCGACCATCTAGCCAGCTTTCTATCCACCTTATAGTCCATTCATCCAATCCATACTTCTTTAACTTGCTGGCAAGAATACTGTGGGAGACCGTATCAAAAGCTTTGCTAAAGTCAAGATATAACACATCCACTGCTTTCCCCATATCCACAGAGCCAGTTATCTCATCCTAGAAGGCAATCAGGTTGATCAGGCATGACTTGCCCTTGGTGAATCCATGTTGACTGTTCCTGATCACCTTCCTCTCCTTCAAGTGCTTCAAAATGGATTCCTTGAGGCCCTGCTCCATGATTTTGCCGGGGACCGAAGTGAGGCTGACCGGTCTGTAGTTCCCCGGGTTCTCTTTCTTCCCTTTTTTAAATATGAAGGGATTTTAAAATGAAGGGATCCTTTGTCACAGAGAAAAGAAAGATATGAAGATTTTTTAAATTAAAAAACAGCGATTTATACAGGGTTGGTCAGTTTTTTCTAAGATAAGATAATGTCATCAGCAGCAGTTTTAGATTATACTTATTATAGGAAATATGGGGAATTGCAGATATGGAAGTGATCTAATGGCAAGTGCATATTTAATTATCTAAAGGAACTGGCAAGTTTTTAAAAGCCACCATTCCATTCCATTTTTTGAACTATAAAGCAGACTCTTTATCCACTGGGCCTCACTTTATTTGGTTATTTACACCTATGGAAATATCCAGGTGTTCATTTATTTGTTGAAGGAGATTATCTATCTATCTACATCTATGATAGCATAAGGTGTTAATTCAGTAACTAAAGTATTAACTATCTGATAATGTAGACACAGGGGCTACCCAGGACTCCATATGAGTGGAGGCCTTCTATAGATTGGGAGCAGTAAAAGGAAATACAGTGTTGAACCTTGTAGTAGTAACAAATGCTATAACCTGAGGACAAATCTCTGAAAATATTAGCTTTAAAAACTGTTATTGCCAATGTTCACAGTTGTTTCATGGGTTATAAGCCAACTGTTCTACATCTAGACAGACAGATTTAGTAAATGTTTTTTTTCTTTAGAAATTGTCACTTTCATTATTTCAGAGTTTTAAGTTTGTATTTTATATACATCCTGAAAATTCTAAATTCTTGTCTGTGCCCCAGCCGAAAGGTAAGCTGTGGTACAGGAAAGGGGAAAGAAATATACCTAATATTAGCATACTGCTTTCCCCAAGCCTATTACCAATTATACAAGGTGCAGGGCAATACAGAGTCAGGTCCCTTGTCACTTGACTCCCTGTTCTGGGCATAAACCATTAGACCACTCTTTCTCCGTAGGAAAGAATTTACAGAGAAATAATTAAGCATTATTATGATGACAGTATGATTTTTCTTTGGTTGCTTGCATGGTGTTTTGGCTTGTATTTTGTTTGTCAGAGTATCTGGGCTGTCATGTGCAACTTTACTTTAATTGTTATTTAACATCCAAACATAACACGATGGCTGCTTTATCAATAAATGGTCCCTTTTCGGATCTGAAGTTTGGCATAGCTAATATATATGTACTCAGTGCTAATCCAAGGCTTTGGTTGAGAAATACAATTGACTTGCTTCATACTATCTGTTCAGGGTAGCAGGGATCACTTGGGGCTTGCAGGCCTAGTAGGCAGGCCGTGGCTCAACAGTCTGAGTCTTGGGATGGCCTTGCCAGGCAATCTGCAAGTTACCAAGTGGCCAAGTTACAATCCACATTCCCCAGTGCTTCCCAGGTCAGGCAGAGAAGGGGAGAAAGGGTAGGAGAGCCTGGGGCCTCCCTCTCTACTGGGTCCAGCCCAGAGTCCCAGGGAGAAGGGGTGAGGAGAGTCTACTGGGTTCAGCCCAGAGTCCCAGGGAGAAGGGGTGAGGAGAGTCTCAGGGCAGGTCTACACTACAAATTTACATTGGTGCAGCGTGCCGCTGCAGTGTGTCGAGTGAAGATGCTCTAAGCCATTGGGAGAGAACTCTCCCATTGGTTTCATAACTCCACCTCCACAAGAGGCTGTAGCTATGTTGGCGGGAGAAGCTCTCCCGCCAACATAGCCTTGGTCCCTTCTAGCTGGTACAACAGATGAGCCTTCCCTGGGGCTCTTCCTACCTCCTCCTGTTCTCGCTCCAGTTTAGGGTGTGGTCATGGCACTCAGCTTCCCTCTTAGCAGAGGGTTGCTTCCACAGTCTCACTAGTTCAAACAGTTAGTTGGATCTTCCCAGTCCACTTTTCAGTGTCCACTTGCTTCTCCTTGTCAGGGGAGAGAGGCGAGAAAAAGGGGTGTCAGGCCTTTGGCCTCTTGGTTGGGTCTTACCCATAGTCCAGACTCTTCTCCTATAGATCCCTTTGTCCCAGAAGCTACAGCCCAGCTGCCTGCCTGCAGCCAGTCTCTCCTTCATTCTCCCCAGCTTGACTGTCAGAGTCTCCTTTTAAGCAGGCCATCCATTTGGTGCATGCTGTGCAGTTGCTGAAGGTCAGGGCCTTCTGGGCCAGAACTGCTCCATTACTCCTTTAGTCTCAGTGAGGGGTCTGTAAACCCCATCACAGGGAGGGAGATCTTTAATTGCACACTGCAACTAAGAACTAAGAACAGCCATACTGGGTCAGACCAAAGATCCATCTAGCCCAGTATCCTGTCTAGTGACAGTGGCCAGTGCCAGGTGCCCCAGAGGGAAGGACCAGAACAGGCAATCATCAAGTGATCCATCCCCTGTTGCCCATTCCCAGCTTCTGGCAAACAGAGGCTAGGGACACCATCCCTGTCCA